TAAATATAGTGTCTCTTAGCTTTTATATGTATCTGTATGAACAGGTGTGTGCTCATAGATACACAATTAAAATGAAAGTAAAGAATTCAAGATGTGATCAAAACAAAATTTTAAAACTTTAGAGAACAAAGTAGAATAACAGAAAAATAAAAATCGAGGGGAAATTTTTTTTTAATTCGTTGATTATCAAACTATACGCTAACAGATGTTTCATCTGAATTCCATCTTTCTGAGGCTGAAGTAATATGGAACATGTGGTGAGAATTCGCTTTAAAAAAGGAGAGTAAATAAATAATACTAAAATACAAAAATAAATAATACTCAAACAGAAATTTTAATAATTCAAATGGAGATTGAAATGTATGAAACAGAAAAGAATATAAAATTATTGAAACGGAAAAAAATAAAAAATTATTTTTGTGTAGAAATATTTATTTTTAAATTTTCTTTTTCCTTTGCACAAACACACACCCATATTCTAATATACGTATGTGTCTTAAACTATTGAAAATGAAAGGAGAAAAATTCTCAGACAAATACAAAACAATGTAATTTGTAATTCAGCAAAATTACAAAGCAATATAAATAAATTAAAAAATTTATTGAGAAATTATTATACTTATTTACAGAAAATAAAATTTTCCCGGATGGTGAATGTAAGTTTGAAAAAGATACATCAAAACAAAAATTTTCTTTGATGCAATTTAAAAAGCGTTTGATTTTTCTTTTATCATATTTTATAATTAATTCTTATTTTTTTATTTTTATAACTTTTTATTATATTAGTATAAGTTTTAATAATTTTTTCAATTCTGTATTATGACTTAATAAATTGCCTACGTTTTAATAAATTATGTATTTTTCAGAATTTTTATAATTATATTTCTTCATATATTTACAGCTCAATATAATTAGCAGTTCTAGCTCCGATTATTAAAACTAAGTTACTTTAATTAATTCCATTAATTCCACACACATTAATAAAAATTTATATTCTTCTTGGTGTTTTAATTTGAAACGAATTAATTGTAAGATATAAGTAATCCCCATTATCTTGTAAACACCTATTTACATACAAATAAATAGTTAGAATGTCTATTCTGGATATTTCACAACGAAACTAAGAATGGGTTTAAAAATAAAAGACTGCGTACCCAGAATCACTTTTCGAAACTAATGCTTATATTGTTCAGTTTTGCTAAGGAAGGATGGGATAGTTTAACTGACCCTCTATCATATATCACTGTCACTGTACCAATTCACTCCTTCCTCAAAGCGTTTAAAACTTTGCTACGCTCCTAACTTTTTAAAAAATGACTTATAAAAATTGCCTCTTGGACGATTGAGGTTTATAACTTTCTTCCATAAGAGCACACATTTGGATTAAGACACATNTTATCTGGGTACCGCGTCCTCTTAAGTTTAAAACTTTGCTACGCTCCTAACTTTTTAAAAAATGACTTATAAAAATTGCCTCTTGGACGATTGAGGTTTATAACTTTCTTCCATAAGAGCACACATTTGGATTAAGACACATTGGCACACTAGTGGATTATTATGTAAGCATGCAATATAGGATAAAAATAAAGCATATGTTGCTACCTGAACTTGTGCAGGGTCAACTAAATCTTGAGGGATTGAAAAAGCACCAAGTAGAAATCCAGCTGCATCTCTACTACCCCTAGATCCTCCTCCATTTGTAGTACTCGAGGAGCTTGAAGATGAACTAGAATTTCCTTGGGGTGGTAAACTTTGTACAACATGAATCACTTTTCCATCAACATCTAAGGAAAGAAAATGATTTATAACACAAATATAGACTAATTTTTAAATAAGTCAAAGGTCTAATTTAAAATTATACAAAGGAAAGTCCTGTATTCAGAACTGTCAGGACGTAGGCCCAGAAAATAGATTTTTAGGAATAAAAAGTCATTAAGGTAAATGAAGATTAAAACAATAAAATATAAGAATGTTCTATATGATAAAATTAAAAAAAAAAATCCCATTTAACCCACGATTTTCATTTAGCTCTTGTCTTTAAGTCATTAAGAGTGTTCATTAGAGTAATATAAATGTTAGCCACTCTAAAAGCAGTAGGAGGAAATAAGTAAAAAAAATTTTTTTTAATAAAAGGAAAAGAAATTTGTTTATTAAAAAGTATCCAGAAAACATATGTACTGATATAGGACTTTGTACTCCATATTACAAAATAAAACAAGTACATATAAACTTACCATATTCTGATAATTTCTTGTCATCTTTCAATACCTTTCCACAAAATATCAGTCTTTGCTTGTCAACTGTTATATTCTAAAGTAAAAACAATAATAAATAAGATTAAAAAGGATAATATTATACAAATCAAAAATTTAAGTATTAAATGAAAACTTACCAATACTGGAGCTATTTGTTCTTTAAACTCTTTTACTGTACTCTAATAGGAAGGGGAAAAAACCATCAGTGAAAAACAAACTAGTATTTTATGTATGTAAAATGCTTGAAAAGTGTTATTAAACTACATATATTTTATGAGTAACAGTTTTCCAATTCAACGTTTATAAATTTTGCCACTGGATAGAGCGGTTTAATTTTTATGTAATGTATATCAACTTCTAATAAGTTTCAGTTTCATTGTTGACTACTCTTTTAAATTACATCTCGTTCAGAGCACTGGCTTCCTAACCGATATTAATTATGTTTATTTAACAATTAACTTATATTTTTAAAAGGATATCTTCATTTATTAAACATTAATGCCTCAATTTTCGATTAGTAAGTCAACAGTTCTTTATGCACACAACAGAATTTAAGAGAATGTTGACAACTTGCACCAAAAGACAAAGATAGACATTATCTCCTTAACTAAGATTTATTCATTTAAGTCTGCTAGCTAAGATGGACTGAGAGGAACATTGGTGACAAAGTTCTACGATTTTTTTTAGTAAAGGAAAGTACCTAAAATTTCTGTGAAATCCCTTTTGAAAATTGAGACAAATAAAATAAACTAACTATTTTTTTTTCAAATTTAAACCAACGATTAAACCACAATATTAAATAACGTGCAATGTCACATTTTTATTTCAAATAAATTTTCTCAGACATTTATACATTTTTGAAAGTTCAGACACGTGATTGCTCGAAGGAGAAATTATCTGAATTTTTTTCCACAGTGTATAGTTTTTTCTTCAGTACAAAGCGCAAAATAATATAACAGACCACCCTTAATAAATTTTGATCTCCTTGTAGGATTTTCACGTTCTAGGATTCACTCTTAATGAAATTCAATTTCTCAGGAACAATTTGACTAATTTCATTCAAATTTTGTATTTTGCTATGCAAAATTATATTCAATAAAATGGTGTAAAAAATTTTATACCTAACAATTCAAATTTTTCTTCCGACTAATAATAAATAAAACATTAAAAAAATGATAAATATTTACTAAAAGATATTTTACCCATGGAATTATGTTTAGATAAATGAATTTTATAATTGTGTGTGAAATTTTTTAAATTGGCTTTTTTTTTTTTTGAGGTCACCCTCTCAAATAAAGATTGACTCCTAGAATGCGAAGATCCGATCATTAGAACAAAAGTTATTCAGGATGGCCCGTTTTTTTTATTTTGCACACCATATATAGAAGAGATTTAAAAGTACGTTTCAAGAGTTAAGTGTTATAAAAATAATAACTTATTAATAATGTCGAGACTTTTAAAAAAAATATTCGAAAATTAGTAGTGCTAACTGTCAGAACGGTGATTGGAGGAAGAGAAAAAAAAAAGAAGATAGAATTATCGTCTCAAATAGCGAATACTTAGGTGCATGATTCTTCAAGCTAGAAAGCTGATTTCAAAAATGTCCTTCACTTATTGAGGTAAAAAATGTCCTTCAGTTATTGAGGTTGCAAAAATGTCATTCAGTTATTCAGGTTGCAAAAATGTCATTGTAGTTAGTAGAAGTCAAATGTCACAGTAGTTAGCGGTACTAGGTAAAACTAAATGTAAGTTGAAATTTCCAAATTCTTTTTTATAAGCTAAATTTTGCAGCCCAGTTTTATTTGAGCAATGATAAAATTTCAAGAAACTGGTAAAAACTATGATACTAAATGAACAACTTGCTTAAGAGACTATAATACAATGATATTGTAGCCTGTTATCTGGGAGATTAAATTTTAGATAATAACATACTTGCAATTTAAATTTAAAGGTATAATACTTAAATGTGTAAACATAAAGTATTAAAGCAACAAAAATATTAACATATTGTTAAATATATTAATATTATCATGTTAAAATTTATGAAAAATTGAATAAAAGTTCACTTTATTTTTTAAATTCTAATTTACCTCATCTGGAACATTAAATGAATGATTCTGCGAATCCAAAGTCTTCACTGTGACGGAAAGCATGGTGGGGCTTTTCTCAAATCTGAAAATATATATAAATACTTTCAAAATCAAAATTGATATGACAGTTTTTTTTTTGCATAAATAGCAATTGTTTTGAGCAAGCTGCTATGTCCTAGGAAGCTAATTATTACTCCATCAACCAAATAAACTTTTAACTCCTTCTTTAAAAAAAACAAGACATTAAAATTTTTTTTTATGAAGTAGCATAGGGAATTGAAATGTGTTTTTTTACAAGGTTATAATAATAAATTTGCCTTTGTACAATGAATGTAGTCGGTAGAGCAAAACTCTGGACTGTTCAGTAATAGGAGATATTTTTTCTTTTTTATGCAAATGATAGGCTTTCATTAATATTAGAAAATATTTTCTAATACTTTTTTTATCGTAGCCTTCTGATTGAAATAAATATTCTTTATTATATCCTAGCATTGCCCCAATCAGATTCTAAATTAAGAATCTGATTGGGGCAAAACCAGGCAAACCAGTGAACTTTTGAAAATTATGAATATTATTACATTTTAAATATGCTTTGTTATTAATTGATTTTTCTTACAGAATCATACAAAATACTAAAAAAAGAATTAGATTGATATTTAATTTTTTCTCTGCTTCACTCAGCTGCAATTATGTCATTGCATTAGACTTTCAGACATGCAGGTATCAAGGGTGAGTTTTTTCAGTTTTTTAATTTAACAATAAAAAAATATCCCTTTTCGAAGAAAGTTGGTCTTTTCTAATTCTTGAGAAAAAAACAAACAGTTTTTATGCTTTTTTTTACCTATACAAACGTGATTAAAATTGCACATGGTATTTTTTATATCAAATATAGCAATTAAAAAGCTACTACAGTGTAGCTTCCCATATCCGGACGTCGCTTTTCCGGAAGGGTCAATTTTCCAGACACTTTTTAACAATCAAAATAAACAAATATCTATTTTTCTTCCCTCTCTTATAAAAAAAAAAAAAAAAAAAAGGACACATTTTTTTCTTTTCTAGCTTCTAGTGATTTATACATTGAACCCATAAATCACCAGAAAGGGGAAGAGAAAATCTACCAAACCTTCTCGCTTGAATCGTTCTAGTTCAAAATGGCGGAGAGATTCTAATATTTTGTTTTTGATTGATTAGATATAATTCCAATACTAAACCATTAATACTCGAAAAATAATGTTTATTTATATTTCGCTTCTTAGATTAAGACCGTTCTAAGCTTTGTTTACCTTGGGGGTCTATTATACGGAAAAATCTAATATCCTACGTATCCGGCATCGGTGGGACTTTGATACGCGACTTTCCACCATACATGCTTAGTGTTCAAGTTACTAAAAAATTATGCAAAAGAATTCCCATTCTCCCAATTACAAAATCAAACATTGAGATTTGTATCAAAAAGATTTTAAGATTAAATATTGAGATTCGTATTTGTGGAATTTAAAAATTACACACTCAGATTTATATTTCTATTAAAATGTTGAAAACATTCTGCGGTTAAATGCTTTTAACACACAAATTTTTTTTCCGCCCTCAAATTTTAGGCATTTTTCAATTATTCAAAAAGTGTTTTTACACATAACATTTTTGGATTTATATTCTCAGCTTGTATTTTTTTCTTTTACCAAACTCATCCATGTGGTATGAATTAATATTGAGTTTTATAAAATTTAAAACATTTTTTTTAAAAAAACAATGATTTTAAAACAAATTTTGCCAAAATGAAATGGCGACGTAAAGGTTGAAACTAGTTACAAGAGTTAATTAGTTGTTTGCAGCAAGTTTTTTTACTGAGATTTTGTGTTCTTAGAAATTTTTTCATTTTATCTAAGTCTATTAGTATCTACCGTATTACACGAAATGAATTTCCCGACTTGATCAATTGCCTCCTACAATTTCTAACAAATTTTGATGACCAATCAATACCCTTCAACTTCTAGATCACAGTAGATTTTTTTCTTCTTCTTTTACTCACAGCAGTGGTAAAGTCAAGTTGAAATGCCACAACCTTGTAGGTAAAAAGAGAAAGGAAGAGGTAGCAGTAAAAGAGATAACAAGAGATAGGTGAATCAATAGTTTATATTTCTTGGACAGTGAAAAGGTGGTTTAGAAAAACTAGTTCACCCCTAGACCCTAATATGGAAATCTATCTAAATTCAAGGAATACAGTGAGATTATTATACTTTAATTATTGTTTTCCCCCATGGAAAAAACAATCATAAAATTTTTTGTATAGGGTATCTGTCCAAAAAATCGCCAAATTTTGGCGACAACTGAGCACTATTAAATACTGAAGAGGAGTCTATTAACAGTGCAGTTGCATAAGTTGAAAGTTTTGGCAACAGAAATTTTTTCTCTTCATGTCATTAGGATAGTTTTTTTTTTCTTCTTTCCTGCGAGAACATAGTAGGGAATGAACCAGCATTTGGTGAGGGGCGGTATATGGATTATCTGGAAAAATAACTTTGCGAATGGATATGTTTCTTTATTAAATAAAAACATTTCATTTACCATTCAAATTTTATATTCAACAACAAGTGCCTTTATAATTATCTTGTTTTTAAATTATATATGTTCTATTTATTCTGCACAAACCTTTTAACTAGATTGTCAAAATTATACAATAGTGTATACTCTCTAAAGCATTTTTAGAAGGGCGGTCTGCCTTGCCTGCTCTTTGATCTATATAAATGCTTGTGTAAAAATAAAGCGCTCATTTATTCAAAACACTGCCTTTTTATTCATATTCAAATTTTAAAAAGATTCATTTACTGTTTAAATAATAATTATCCACTCTTAAAATTATCTGTGTTTATAGGTTTAATTCTGATTACTATTAAACATATTTACTTTGTTAGGATTATTCTCAATTTGTTAAATTTTCAGAAGCATCTCTTTAATAGTTTTATTTTTTAAATGCAACTTTAAATGTTTATTTTCTCATAGATTTTAGTTTAAATTATAGAAAATTTTTTCAAGTTGCTAATCAATAATTTTTTTGTTGTTTATTTTACTTTTTTTGAAAAAAATTCATGATCAGAGATTATCTATAAGCGTGCCTTCAATTATTTTTTATAAATTACAACTTTTTCTCTTATATTCTGATAATGAGAGGGAATCATTTTTTGAAATAAAAACATAAAATAGTATAAGAGGGTAATTTAAAAATTGTTGACTATCGAATTTAGTTATTACACAATTTGATAAATTTTTACAGCGTTGAGTAAGTGCCTATCAAAACTTATAGTGTCCTATTTTACCCCTAGGGAGAATTCTGTATATAATCTAGATTTTTAGCAATTATTAGTTCTAATAAAGTTTATCATTATTTTAGCCTGAAATAACTTTCACTTATAAATTTTTTATAATGTTAATATTTCTTTTTTTAGAGTTAACACCCTAGTTCTCCCTTTGTAGCTTAAATCAGTCTCAACTTATCTTTTCTTTTTCCTTATGTTCTATCTTAAGTTTAAATCTATGCAATCAAAATGTTAATCATTATAAATAGAAATAACAATTTGAGCCCAATTCACAATGAAAATTTATATGTTGTTAATTATTGTTATTAGATTAAAAAATACTAGTAGAACAGCATTAGCGAAAATTTTTCTTTCAGAACAGTAAATGTAATTTTATCCTAGGGTGAAAGATTCTGTCTTTATAAGAAAAAAACATAGAATGACAGAAATTGTTATATTAAAATAAACTGTTATAACAAGCTGGTTTTTCATTTAATATCTATACCTGTCTTTTCTTACAGTACCAAGAGGCCAAACTATTGAACTTTTTAAAATTTAACAAAAAAGAAAAAAAAATCTGAGGGATGGTTATGAACTTTGAGTTAATTTTTTTTCTTTTGTCTTTTTTTGTTTCATGAGTGTTGCCTGGTTGTAACCAAAATGTGGTGAGTTCTTTGGCGCTGGTACCAACTTAGAAATCTTCTATAAGGACTATGAAGAAAAGGCATTTAATGTTCCTTAAATTATGACTACTTTAATCTCTTTTTATCCCAGAAAAAAAAAGTGGTTAACAAAACACATATGTTATTTAACTAAGCTCTTATCGTCAAAGCATTTGCAAGGTAATTTGTGAGTAACAATATTAATGTCGAAGTTGAGCTTGATAGGGTATTCTTGATTTTCATTAATGAAAGTAAATTCGTATAGAAAAGAAAACTATTACGTGTGAATAATTGATCTGATACACTATCTAATCGGAACTGTATTAGTACAGCAAATATCGATATATATTTTGAATAAATTTTATATCACAATGTACATTAGGATTTAAATTTTAAGAAACAGTCACCTACAAACTGAATCATACATATATTGCACTCTTTAAATTATGCAAAAATAGGAAGATATGAAACACAACATTTAAAAACTTTCAATATACGATTAGTGAACCATATAGAGGTTAAAGACTTTTCTGAAATTCAAACGGGAAGTAAATATTACCTATGAATGTCTACAAAAGACAAATTATTATTATAATTTACGTCTCCCCACAATAATTATTAATAACAATAACACAAAAATTACAAGTGGAAGTATCTAGTAAAAGTAAAATAAAACAAAAACATCGTTGCCAGTTTGCAAAACAAAATAATGCTCTACAAAAATTAATTAAAGAAAAAAATTATAAAATGGGGAAAATAATAATGAAATAAAATAAGGAAAATTTTCGTGTGAAGAATAAAAATTTATATGTCTTTTTAGAAATGAAAAATTGAAATTATTTTGAGAAAACCTTTATAGAAAATGAAGTGAAGTGATAGAAAATAATGTTATTATTAAAAAAATTAAATAGTCTTGTTTTCGCTAAGTGTAGGTTACGTTTATCAGCTTATAATTTTCAAATAATTTCTTCTTTAAAAATGTCTAAAACAGCTGTAGTAATTTTGTCAGAGGGTGCCGAGGAAATGGAAGCAATCATATCGGCTGATGTTTTGCGCCGCGCTGGTGTAAGTAATGCATTTATCTCTATCAAATTCATACCGCATAAAAATGCATTTTCTCTTTCATATTCTCAGATACAGTCATTTAATATTATGTAACATTAAATTAATGCATTTTTGTATTATCATATGCGTCTGTGAACATATTTCTAGAGTGAAAGTATTAAAGTTTCATAAACGATGTTTATAGTTCCGAAATTAAATAATGAGAAACCTATTAGGGCCGGTTTTTTTGCAAATCTGGTTTAAATCAATAAGTTTAGTTTTCTACACTTTGACAGTCAACCCGCGAAGGAGATATTTTTGTATTGTAGTCAGTGGCGGGAACTGCAATTAGTTAGATTTTAAGCTTGCAAAATCAAATTATATCTTTTGAGTTGATTCTCTTCTGTGCTGTGTTTTTAGTTTCTCAGTGGAAACTACCCAGATGTCACCAAAACTTGAATATTATTTTGATGATATTTGATGATATCTCATCATCATCATAATAGTTGGCCAGACAGTCCAATGTGAGCCAATACCTTCCTCTGAAGATTTCTCCATGACAACTTCCGATTTATCTTTGATCTGCAATTCTTTTTATTAATTGCAAGAAAATCGGACTCCACTGAGTCAGCCCATCTCAACCGCGACCTTCCCTGCTTTCTTGTTCCAGTGGGTCTAAAAAGTAATTATTTATTGTATTGTCATCACTCTTTCAAATCACGTGGGCCATCCAATTCATTCTATTTATTTTTGTGTATTTAATTATATTGGGTTGGTTATAAATCTTATTTGATCTATATCTATAATATTTGATCAACCTATATAAGGAAATTTCTGAAATACATTGTATTGTTTAACAACTAATTTTTCTAAATAATGTAGGTTAAAGTTACAATTGCTGGTCTTCATGGCTCCAGTCCTGTAAAATGTAGCCGTGATGTAGTAATTGTTCCAGATGCAAGCATTCAGGATGTAGCAAAACAAAATTTTGATGCTGTGATTTTGCCTGGAGGCTTGCAAGGAGCAGAAAACTTGTCAAAGGTAGGTTTATTTATTTACGGTGTAAATTATATATTATTTTAAGCGATACATCATCAACATCAATAAATATAGTTTTCGAATTTCTAATTTGTTTTTACTTTTTAATTTGTTAATCTAAATTGTTTTTACTTACTATGTCCAATGTGTAAGATAAAAAAAAAAATATTATCGTTTGTTAAAATAAATTTTTTTCCTTGAGTATCTATTTTTTTCATTATATTTTTAAATTTAATGTTATAATTAACTAATTTTTGTTGTTGATTATTATAAGTCTTAGCAAATGTATGTATAGGTATAATATACAAATATATGTTGCAATGTAGAGACTCCATTTTTTGTAGTTGCAGCCCTCCCTTTATTTTATTTTATAACCGTCGTTGAACAGCCTTTCCAATTTTGGGTTTACAACTATTAATGTTCAACTCTGTAGCCTTGTAGTTTTGAACCCAATCTAGAAGACAAGAGAACATCAGGATCATGTATTGGGAGAAATTTACCTTCATGGAGGACTTTTTGATGGAACTAACCCGCGTTTGTGTTACATGTAGAGGAAGAAGACCATGAGAGCCTCCCAATGTTAGCTTGACGGCAAGGGGACTCTAACCCATGATCCGTCTACCACGGAGAATATTTCACGTCAGCACTGTGGTCAGTGTGGTCACCAGCAATGGCTGGTGATATCGACTTACCACATTATGCTTTTACCACATTATTACCACATTATGCTTTTACCACATTATATGCTTTTACCACATTATTAATCGATTTAGAATGTATAAAATAATTGAACTAAGTGAATTATTAGTTAAGCATATTTTTCTTTTAATAATTTTGTGTATGTACTTTTAGTTAAAGCATTTTTAATTAGTTTAGTTGCCTTTTGTAAATTTATAACCATTCATAATTTAAATCATAATTTGATTAAAAGATATCAGTTTGACTGTTAAAAAGTTTATGGTTTGATCAATAGGTTAATTATTGTTACAAATGATATTTATTGACTTTAACAGTTTTTTTTTAAAAACTTTGTATTAACAAATTGATTTTATCTTAAGAAACGTTCAATTTGATTTGGCAATCCGTAGTCAATCAAGGCAGGAATTGTTTTTTTAAGATCCCCTTCTGAATTTTTCATTTTATAAAAGTATTAGTACTTTTCATTTCACAACTTTGTAATTCAAACTTTTAATTAAAAAAAAATACTTTTAATTAAAAATGTAAAATATAATTACAGCTTAAATTCTATTTTTCGCATGATTGTTAAAATTTAAGTATTATTCCCATGAATTCGTGGGCCCTTTTTTACTAAAAGTGAGCCCCAATTGAAAACAATCTAGATCCCCTCTTTATTGATTATGAACTGCACATATATATTTTTTTAATTACTTAAATATGTCATTTTTATTAAAAAGTAAAGTTAGAAACATTTTAAATCTTCATAAACTATATATTGTTATGTGAAGTAAAATTAATTTCCTATTTACACAATGTTTTAAAGGATAAAACATAAAAAAGGGGGAGGGGAGTCTCAAAGGTCTTTAGAAAAAGAGACGATGGTCAGTGATATTGAACAGGTGAAAAATTCTCTCTCATTATCCATTTAGATAATATGTGCATTTTTAGGTATTTCATCTATTAAAAGACAAAATAAGAAAGCAGTTATATTTGAAGAATCAAGTTTTTTACTTACAAATAACTAATCGAACTCCCACATTGCTTGAAATGCAATAATATTATTTAATATTTACAAAATTTATCTTCTGATGTTAATAAAGAAGTGAAAAAAAATCTTTTTTCCAAAGTTTGCTCATTTTGCCTTAATCAAAATAAATTTTTGTTGTTGGGTCCTTTTTTGTGTGGTGGAAAATTTCTTCGTTTCTGCCTCCGGTTGAGAATTTTTCGCATATTTTGCGCATTGTAGTGCATAAGCAGAATCGTTAGCCCTTAAGTTAAATGTTGTTAGATATATTGTAAACATTTCATTAAATCATTTAATAATTTGCATTAAAATTTGTTACAGCCTTACAAACTTTTTGTTTCAAATTTTATAACTTTTAAATTTTTTTATAATGTTAAAATTTAAAAATCTTTTTAATTTTATTGAAATCTTTTTAACCCCTTCCTTCTCGCTCCCGTGAAAATGACGGGGTGAGTTTTCACTCTCTATTTCTTGCTCCCGTCATATTTCCGGGCTAGAGTGTTAAGTAGTAACTCGCCAGTAAGAATAAAACTAATTAATTTCTTTTGCCTACACACCAGATGGCAGTACCAGGATATTTTAAAGGTAATTTTAGATAGTCACTTTATTTTAAACTAGATGACAGCAACAAGATGTTTGAATGTCTGAAAAAATATAGGAACTTTTATGACCATTTTCTTGAAAATTAACCGGTCGTTAAGGGGTTAATAAAATTAAAAAGGAAAGAAATAAGAAATCTTTTTAATTTATTTAAAAAGTACAGTTTCAAAATCTTTTATTAATTTTAAAATTGCACTTTTTAAATTTTAAAAATATATTAATTTTAGCTAATTGTAGACAGATTTAATAGTTATTTCCTGTCGTAAATTCATGTTTTTTCTTTTCTTTTTCATTTATTTCAGAGTGATATTGTTAAAGAAATGTTGCAAACTCAAGAAAAAAGTGGTCGATTAGTTGCTGCTATTTGTGCAGGTAAATATTCCTCTGAAAAAATTTCCTTTCGATTACTTTTATGTTTCATAAGTGTAAAATATTTTTTTATGATAGTAAGCATTAATTTTATTATAAAATTGCAATAGTTGGCAATGCCTTAATTATCCTTATTTACCTGAATAATAATTGGAAAATATGGTTAATTCTTAGAAAAATATTTGGTTATATTAATTTTCTATAATCCAACAAAAGAAAGGGTAAAACTTAAAGCTAAATAGTCAAAAGGAAAAAATGTGAATAAAGCACAAATGAAACTACATAAATTGATATACTATAGTTATATATATTTGCTTAACTAGTTATATATACTATAGTCATATATTATTTAATATATATTTCTTTAATGACTGAAAACAAACATATCTTGGGTTAATATTGAGATTTCAGTGAGTCTATTTACTGAATTAACAATTGAGAAGTCATAAACCCATTGAGAGATTTATTGACTTAATAAATAAAATAATTAACCTTCTCACAAGTTAGATCTTGAACATTCCAAAAAATGATTCTAAGCTGCTTTATAATGATATCATTTTGTGTGTGTGTTTTTTTTAATATTTTTTAAAACCTTATGGTATTATAGCATGTTATGTTAAATGATATATTAAATGATTAATATTAAGCAAATACTTATAGCAAAAAGCAGTATTAAGTTTATGCATTTGATTCTTTTTTTTGTTTAAATTTTATGAAATTTTGAGTTTTTTTATCGTTACATTGCAGAAATGATATATTTTTTATTATCTAGCATTAATTATTAAGGTTAAATTGTTACTCTTTAAAGCTAAGAAATAAAAGGAAAAATAAAAGCTAGTTTTGCTCAAGAAAATAAGTGGCTAAATTTCAATGTTTCTTTAAATTGATTTTTATTTCAGTTCTTGTAATGTTGTATTTTTTATATTAAGTCATTTAATTTTTGTTTTATTTAACATGGAAAGCTCCTATCGCTTTGAAAATTCATTCAATTGGAACTGGAAAAACAATCACTTCCCACCCTTGTAAACAGAAGGATTTATCAACAGGTAATTTTCTTTGAAGTAATTATGATTAAAATGCATTTAAATTGGTTCATTCTTTTAAAGACCCATTTTTCAATAATCAATTAAAAATTAGGCATTTTTTAAATGATTGTTTCAATTAATGTCTTAACCCTAATAGCAATTAATTATTCTTGATTGATTGATTATGTAAGATTTATAGCTATCGAAAGGAATAATTGCTATTAGAGTTAAGAAATTAATAATAATCATTTAAAAAATAGCATAATTTTTTAGTTTATTATTGAAAAATGGGTCTTGATTATGTAAGATTTATAGTTAAGTTACAATAAATGCTAAGCAGCATATCAGAAGCTATTTGCTTTAATTCATAAGAAACTGGTAAAATTGCTACTTATCTGCTCAGTGTACTCTTAGTTATTTAACTTTGTTTCTGCAAAATATGGCAAAATAATTTTTTTTACTATAATATAGAAAGAAAACCTAAATTTCAGGACAATTTGTTTCATGAAGATACGTAAATTGAATGACATACAGTCGAACCTGATCTCGAATCTCACAGGAAAGGCGAAAGATTCGAGATAAAGAGGTTTCAAGCTATACGGGTACTATAAAAAAATTGAATTTAGTTAAGAAATTCTATTATAAGTGCTTTAATTGTTAGTAGCAGAAAAATGTAGACATTTCTTTAAATTAATTACACCACATATATTTACATAACAGTTTTTAAACACACATTTAACACTGAAAATAATTTCCCCAAGATTTTTGACTGATAACCTTATTTGTTTCGATTATTCTTTTGAGGTTAGAAAGATTGCAAATTCTTCATAGCCAACATTTTCCTGGGATTCAAGAGTAGTTTATAAGAATTCTAAAGCTTTTTTTACTTCTTTTGCATTCACTTTTGATGCATCAATATGATCTTCAGCTTTTTCCTCTTCATCTGATATTCCTGCGACATTATCTGTGATTTCCGCATCTGTCAATGTTCCGCACGTTGTCAGGCAGTTGTCCAGTTGTAAAAATCTTCAAAATTAATGTCAGCATTAAATCCAGACTTTATTGCATTCCATTTTGGCAAATCTGGTTTCAGGGTTAACAGTTTCTTCTTCTTTACTGATGCCTTCAACCTCTCATTCATCATCTTCACAGCTATCCTTAAAACCAGCTTTTTAAAACCATTTTCAATAGTTTTTAGAGACACATTTCTCCAGGCAAAACAGTAATTCTGATTGCATCGAACTTTTTTCATCGATAGCATCTGCAAGTTAGCATACCAACTGTTTTCTATAGTTCACTTTAAAACTCTTAATTATCCTTTGATCTATTGGTTGCAATTTTGAGGTCAAAATGAATTTCTATTCTTAGCTTTCTTATCTATGTTGAAAAGCTAACCCCTGATGGCCACTACTCATTAACCCTCCACTTACTGCCAGAATCATTGTATTCCTTTCTAGTTAAGGAAGTGCATGGAAAGTGATTGAAATTCCAAGAAACACCCCCAACCTGTTCATCCCCTATTTCCTGTGGATTCACGAAATTCATCTCTGTCTGGAAGTTCTACTGATAAAGTAAGTTTTAACATTTGTGCTTGATTATTAGAAATTAGAGAAACGGACATTTTGAAAAAAAAATTCAACATAAACATGGAAAATACATTGATTTTAGACAGTAAATGTAGGGAATTTTAGAAATTTCGAGATATAGAGGTTTTTGAGATAAAGAGGTTCGAGATAAACAGGTTCAACCGTATCTTTACTTTCTAACTTATCTTTTTACAAACTGGTTCCTTTATTATTTTAGAGAAATGCTAAGTTGAAGGATAAATGCTGCTTTGTTAAGAATGTTTGATATAAATTTGCCCTAATTTTTAGATACCTGTCCTAAATCTTTTCAGTTAGTTAATTATATGGAATATATATTTATACACTTATAAAATTAATTTTTCCTATTGTGCTAATTTTTTATGCTACTATACTTCAGTTGAAGATCATTATAAGACAAAACTAGAAACAAGTTTTTTTTGACTTATTTAAGTTTATATTAACTGCTGAAGGAAAATTGAAGTTTTCTTTAGCATTAGAACTAATAACAAATTTATGAATTTTGTTTTGCTTAACTTTACGAATTGTAACCTCTTAACAAATAATTTAACAAATAATGTAAAATGTTAATAATTTTTGCTTAGTTATAGAAATTTCTTAACTGCAACTTTCATTGTTTACACTTGCAAAGTGAATGAGATTTATGGAGAATTGCATTATATATCTCCTATATTTACTTATTATTTCTCCTTAAGTTTTGTAATGTTGTTAAAAAATAAGTTGTAATGTTTTTTGCTTATAAAAGATAAGCAACCAACTATTTCTTATCATTTAGGTGAATACAACTACATTGAAGATCGAGTTGCAGTGGACGAGAATTTAATTACCAGCCGAGGTCCTGGTACCGCATTTGAATTTGCATTAGCAATCGTTAAACATTTCTTTGGCAAAGAGAAAGCTGAATCGCTCATAGGTCCTATGTTGGTCAATGCCACAATTAACTAAATAAAATGACATAGAGATTAATATCGCCCTAAAATTTATAGCAGTTTGTTTTATTATTTCTGTTTAAATTGGATATCGTTAATTAATTATTGTATAACCTATAAGCATGAGTCACTTTAGAACAGTATTTCTCTACCTGATTTAATCACCAGTCATTTGGACTATTGGCATAATTTTTACAAATACAAAATTGCGTCACCTAATTATTATTATTATTTTTTTTTGTTGCCTGTTTGTGACCATTCACATACTTTGCACTGTTAAATATTTTGGAACATATTTAAATATAAATAAAATTTATAATCACTCTATTACAAATATTAATTTTGCTATTTGAATAACAAGTTAGTGAAATGAAATTTTTTAACCATGTCTAGGTAGAAAAAAAATACAAGTAAACACAAAATAAGGAAATCCTTCTGTGAACAAAGAGGGAAAAATATATTTATTATATTCAATATCGAATCCTTAATAAATTTAAGACAATAGTGCTTGCGGACTGACGGTTGAGAAACAATTCTTATGAAGATTTAGTAATTGACAAGAAATTGGAAAATTATATGGCTTGTTGAATTTTGTTTCTGAAAACAATGTTTAGGAAATAAAATTGAGTATATCTGCTGATTTGATTCCATTTTTAAATGTATAGGTAATTAGTTATTGCTCAGGCATGTTATCCCAGAAAGTGTTTTTTTTTCTGAATTTGTTTGGTAAAATTAGTGTACTTATTGTAATATTAAGTATTCAATAAGTTAACTATTGATTATTTTGTGTGGTTTTTTTACTCAGATTTTTTTTCTGATTTAATGTAAATGTTTGGCTAAATTCCGATTAAAATTATCTAATTGATTATTGTGAATGATTATTTTGAATGTCTGAATTACTGCTGCAATGGTGGAACTTTTCAATGAATGGTTGTATATTGCATTTAGTGAAAATAATTGTTCTTTGCACTCAAAAGGTAAATGTATGTGTTGCAATGAATTCTTTGATATTGATGTCAATTCCTTTTTAATCATATTGATTTAAAATTTTGACATGTACACATATTGGATACTTGAATAAAAGTTGTCTTCCATTGTGATTTTTATATTCTAGTTCTGTTTAAGTAAGTTTTGAAACTACTCTCTTTTTAAAGCAGGGGACTGGTTAAAACTAAACATGGGAAGTATATTTCTGTAAAATTTCAATTGAAATGAAACCAAGCTTAATTGAAGATCCTGGGCAAAAATATAGGGTGTTATAAAAACTTGCTGCCACTGTGACCTCTAGGTCAAGATGTGGCTCTTCAGAGTTTTAGGTTATTTGATATTATTAAAAAGCAACATATAGTAAGAGTATTGGTGGATAAAGATTTAACTTATCTGCCGTGTGGCAGAATCGCAGCGACATTGTCACAGAACGTTAGAGTTCTTGCAGAATGATTTTTCTTTTGAAAAGGGAAAATAATTACTTTTCCTCAGAAGTTTCTATGTAATATTTGAATCATGCCTTTAGGTAATAACTTTTTGATGTGCTCAATTTATGCCGATAGTATTGTGAATCAGTGTAATGTTCCGATTGTATTTTTGGCAGTTATTGATATTTATTTTCATGTGGATTTTAAATATCCCGATATATTTCAAACAATGTAGAAAATTCGAATCGTGCCATTGAGTATATACTTTTTGAAGACAATTATTCTATCAAATTTTATGCAGTTGATTTCTCCATAGTTTTTAAATCCGTTATTTTTTATGCAATATTATTTATTACGACAACCTAATCTCAAAACGAAACACGCATTTATGGAGTCCGATTAGCGTGATATTGTCACGATCTTTTTTTTCAGCAGTTACTACTATGTGTGGATTTTGTGATTTTTAATTATTTTTTACTGTGATGATTATTTACAAAATGCGACAAAAGCAATCATTTGTGCATCCTCCCCCCCCCCCAACAAAATGCGAGAATATCACCCATAATATTAGTGTAACAAATTGTTACATGTTCAATTTTTAAAAAAAATCGTAGTTTTTTTTGTAGACTCAGTGCTTTTATAATTTTAAATTAGTAACATATACGCTTGTTATTATTGAAAATATCTTGCAGAAAGATATTAGAGCTAGAGAGTTTAGTCTGCCACAGGGCTCATCTGACTGCTAAACAGAGTAAAATAGTTTTTTTTTTATAGAAAAAAAAATGCTTTATAAAACTATGTTTTTTAGTCCTTTTTTTTAAAATATATATCTTTATTAGAAGTCAATCTATGTTATACAAGGCAACATAAACAAAGAGCGAGAATACGAGGAAGGTGAATACATCAGCAATAGGAATACATAACGATTAAAATACGTATAGAGGTAATGTTACTTGCGTTAGTATAACCCTTAATTCACATGTGCCTCCCGTGTGGTGCTAAATGAGTGACAACTTTGACTGCAGGCTTCTTTTTTATATTTTTATTTATATTATATGAGAAAAATAAGTAATTTTCAAGAGAAAAAAAAATTCTTTTTCCTGGCACAAAGGAATAAAGTTCATTAAAAAAACAAAAACAATAATGTACTCCAATTCAAAAAATAAAATTAGATGTTTTTTTAATTAAAAGATTAAAGTTTTAAGACTAAAATAAACAGTTTTTTCAAATGTTCATTTAAAATAAATTGAAATTTTTGCTTTTGAGCTGATTATTACTGATTATTAAGAATTACAAATTGTCATGAGCTGCAATAAAACCAACTTCTTTAATATCATATGCATGCCTTGACCATTCGACCACCATTGCATATACTCCTTTATTTTTCTTCTTCTTATTATTAAAATATCTAAGCCTTTGAAAGGCAACAGATTCTTATCCCTCCCTATTTTCTCAACCATGCTTTTAAGTGTTTTTTTTTTTTTTAAATTCGCAATTTAGATGTGTATTTCCCTTGTACGTAGAATTAAATTATCAAAAATAAGAGCTATAATGTTTAAAAATGGCTTACTTTATGTAATTTTTTATTGGCACTGATTTTTTAAAAATTTTATTTCGTAACTGGCATTGAAAATCCGTCCCAATTCCGAGTTTACAACTATCAATATCTAACTTTGTAGCCTAATATGAACCCAACCCAGAAAAACAAGGGTACTCCTGGATCAAGTATCCCAGAAGACAAGAGAACTCTTGCGTTTAACATTGAGAAAAACTAGTTTTTGTGGAGAACTCTGATGAAACTAACGTGTATTTGCATTAGAGGAAGAGGAAAACCTCCCACGGTGAGCCCGACTTTTAGGGGATTTCAATCCAAAAACCGTCTACTACTGAGGATATTTTACGTCGGCATTGTTCGAGCCAGGTGTGAAATTCATAACTTGCCACAGCTGGGATTCAAACTTAGGACGCCTTACTAGGATGCAATCGCTCTACCCCCTTAGCCACGGCGACTCTTATTTTTACTGATTAGGCTAATGGTAGAGTGTTACCTCTGCACTTGTTTGATGGCCAACATGTATGTGACAAAATACATTACCACCAAGGCCTATTGATTCCAGGAAAGTTTTGCAATTTCTCGACCTACTCCATGTCTTTAAATGCGGATAACGGTAGTCTAGTTATATCTTGATTAGTCAAATTAGCCTGATTAGCCTTTCTTGATTAGTCAAATTTTGTGTTTCAATAACATCTGTAGAGAATTTACATACAGACACATGTGCAAAAGTAGGTATAAAATCCATTGAAACATTCACGGCATTATCTTATGCAATTATTGCATTGCAGAGTTCATAGTTGTCCCGATGAAAAATATTTTGTTCTGATTTTTAATTAAATTAGTTGCCATATTCCTTATTTTTCTTCATGCTCAGGACCTTTAATTTTTTTACAAATTTTAAAATAATCGATTTAAAGACTAACAATATTTTTTTATCCAATTTTTTATTTTAGTTTTTAATGAATGCTTGTAGAAATCATGAAATTCGATAATTCAAATTTAAAAAATGTCCTCTTAAAGCTTGAACTGAATTGGATTAGGCTCACACATATAGCATCATTTATTGTATCAAGCAGTATCGTTTATTTTTTCGTATTGTTTTTTTGGAAAAATGTAATTAACAATCTTTCATTTTTGTTGAATTGAGGTGTCATGCTTATAGCTATTTTTTTTCAACAAATGCAGTAACAAATCTTGTAGGATAGAGTTTGTAGTCCCACTGTAATTGATTCACTTCTTTCATATAATTTTAAAAATAATAGATTTCAATGAACACAGCAATCATGTAGAATTTTTTAAGGTGAGTTGAAGAATCTTTGACTAAATTTTACAGAAATATTAAGTAGCATATTTTATTAATTGGCATTTTCAACGTATGCAGCACAGCACTTTTTCCTGTTAACAGTGCCCTCTGTTGATGAATTTTCAAACTTTTTAGAACTTGCTGAAAATGAATTGTCAAGTTACCGGAGCAGAGCGCAGCAAAACATGCTGTTTTTCATAGATTTTTCAAATTGTCTGTTATTTTTGGGGCCCTCTGTGTTAAGTTGAAAAAAATAGTTTTATTGCCGACTCCAAAAATAATTAAAAAAGAGAATAATATAATTAATTATAACATCCAAGAGGATGGCTATATGTTTTATGGCTTGCATTTAAGCTATGCTTAACAATGATTTTTTTAAATAATTTTTAAAGATTTTTTTTAGTGAATGACACATTCTTAATGCCTTTCTGTAAATGACGTTTTATTTTAGGAAATAAGGATCTCATTTCTGGGTTTGAAACTTCTTAATTTTTTTTTTCTTTCTTCTTCCACATAAAAGTTTTGTACCCATTATTCGGCTTCCCAGGCAAAATTTTAATTCAAAACAATTATTCACGTGATTCCAGCTGGGAAAAAAATTTGGTTGCCCAACACAGAGTAAAGTTGATCTATTGTTACCCTAAAGCTATATTTGAGCTGAGACTGCTATAAACAACGTCTGACGCAAAAAAATTATTTCTCTGTAAATTGTGTAAGATGTGCTGAAAATAACTTAATTTACCTTCAACATCACTTATTTCTTATATATAACTTTTTTCACTTTTAAATTTAGTAGGTTTCCGTGAGATATATGGTACTTAGATTATTCTGACAAGAGTTTGTTATGAATGAATGCTCGGAGTCCGCATCGCTACTTTAACTTAGATGTGTCTTCGTTATGATCTTCTGTAACTTGTGCTATCTGTTTTTCAATTTCACTAGTGCTCAAAAGTCGTAATACCACCCAAGCCTGAATAGGATATGTAATAATAAATAGTCTCACAGTGGACTAATCATAAGACACGATTCCAAGTAGAATATTGAATTCAAGCATTACCGGTTGCGGGCAGTGAGCGGGTGAGTGACCACTTTGATCAACGAATCGGTGATACCGCTCGGCCAAAGAAACCTCGAAAAAGGGAGAACAAGTTTTATTGTTATTCATACATATGCAGGTTATGTATGCTCACTCCAAAGTTCGCCTTGTAAGCCCATGGGCAGTTGAAGAACAGATAGCTCAAGTCAAGACATTATGATACATTCAGTCTTACGACGGAATTCGAATTTCTCTTACCTCCACTCTGCAGAGCGTTTGACGGAACGGCGAGACTGCTTGACAAGGAAGAATCCTAAAAAAAAAAGAGTAAGTTTTATTGTTGCTTATACATATATGGGGGAGCCATCCCCTCTGCAGAAGATCAAAAATGTGGCGGCATGTGTTCCAGATCATCCTCAGTGGTGTTTCGTAGACCGTCGCCAATTGCCCTTGTGCAACTCTAGTGCGACGTAAATTAAGTACCTACCTACTCATACACATGCAGGTCTGTGAGCTCATTACTAAGTACACGGCTTATAAGTTTTTGTCTAGTTGAAGAACAGATACTACAAGTTACGACAAGGACAGAGTCTCGATGGATTTCGAACCAAGTAAAATAGGAAGAAAAAAATCACTCTCTGATCTATAAACATCCGACTAAATGCTTTCAACGAGTACCGAAGTATAGTGATTTTAACGACTTAGAGCGTGCTCCCTTTTTAGCGGCTTCGAATACTGTCACTTGTATTATTTAGCGGTATTACGCAAGGTGCTACGAGTAAATAAAATAA